GAAAGTAACACAAAATAGTGATCCGAACGAAACATAAAAAATTGAGATTGTTCAAAGTAGGGGAAGCAACGGAAATATGAGCAAAAAAGGTCCTAAACGTCACCATAGCATCACCGGTTAGCCGATCGGAAATCCTCTCAGGAGATTGTCAAAAAGGTAGGGATCCGAGTAGATGAAAGAATGACGACTTTGTGAGCCCAAATCGAAAAAGTTGTTTGTTTATCCTTTAAAGTCGACTGAGTGGAGTAGACAACACATTCTCATTTTGAGCTGAGAGGTTCTATCCGTCCCAGGAATCAATAGCCACTAAATACCAGCCTCTTGCATCGCCATAAATGCGCTCGTTTAACCCAACCAACCCCCGTTAGGCAGTCCCCCTCCAATCGCCTCCCTCTCGCCCCAAGTTGCATAAAGTCGCCCATATTTGAGTTCATTTTCCCCGAGAGTCCTGTAATTTTGGGAGCACTTATGAGTGCCCATGTTATGATGTGTGTGTGTATGTAAATGGATTAGGAAGGAGGCAGAGCTACAATTTGCTTGCGCTCTGAGTCCTCTTTGAAGTATGAGGAGAGGCATAAATTTCATTCCCCGGATCTATTTTTTTCTCCACTAGGATACTTAGAGAAATTGAATAAAGTCAGGAGATGTTTCAGCAAATGATGACGAAAAACACTTACTCGAGGTAAAGGCAACACTACTGAGAGTAGCCATCAATATGCTTGCCTCTACAAATCGTGATCTTAAGTCAGTACGCAAGTGTAACCAAAATTGGACAAGAGAGTAAAATTGCTGATAAGAGCATAACTTGACAAAGATGACAATTTTGCTTGGATCTGTTCTCTCTTAGTAAAGCAAATATGGGGCACGAATAATCACCGCATCTTTAATACAACGATAAAACATGTTAAACAGCAAACAGACTTCCCTCCTTACCTACGTCGATCAGTGCTATGAACAATAGGCCCGTAACCACTGACGGTCAGAAGGTAAGAAACTGAATCTCACTAAAAAGAGATCTACCTCAAGAATGAGTTGTGTATCCTTCGGAATCTCTTTCATAATATCCAGGGCCTTCTGCCAGAGGACCAGAGAAGATAACTTTGCTCGCTCAGTCCACTTGACAATCTCTGAGATGGGCAACTGGTATCGCATGATACGTTGCACTGGCTGCATCAGCAATGAGACCACATCCTCCTTGTCCCCCACGTGCACACGCCACTCATCGAAAAATTCTTTGTGCTGCTCCGCAATGTGAGCAGCCTTAATTTGGTTCTCGCAGTATTTCGAGTAGATGGAACGGAGACGAGCTCGCGAATCAATGAAGAGCTTCGGAATGCGGTCTGGATCATCCTCTAACAAGGTGCGTAGCTTCTCGTAGAAGCCTGTATGCCACTCCAGTAGTTGGACCCAATTGCCCCAAAGAATACGCCATCGAGCCACGAGATCGTCAGGTACCGTTGGACCTCCTGGAGGTAGTTTACTAGCAAGCTCCTCAAAGCTGGAGGGGCTAACAGGAAGAGCAGCAGATGCAACAGCAGCGGAAGCTGTGGAATCGGAGTTCGAAGACACACGGTAGGGTGCCGGCATGTAGAGCTCATAGACCACACGCAATCTGCGTACATAACTTTCTTCCGAGTAGGCCAATTCCATGAGGGGTTGCTTCCGCTTTTCGATGGCTTCCGAGACTGCATCAGTTTCACCATTGACTTTAACTGAAGTGTCATTCTCCGTGATAGGAATAGAAGTAGCCTGGGTGAGTGAAGGCTGTTGATCGCGGTCATTAAATGTAGGGTCGTCGGTGCGAAGGATGTCCACGTCTGGATCCGAGTTATCTGCTTTAGCACACAACGTCGAACCACTTAAGAAATGAACCTGCTTTTCGTCTGGTGGCTTTTCCTTGACCAATTCCACCGACATTTTCACGTGCTGAAAAAGAAAGGGCTGAGCATGTTTATAATTTAACACCTGTTTCTCAAAAAAAAAAGAAAAATTACAGGCACAAATCAGTTTGATATGAGCATCAAATACGACATTAATATTAGATATCGAAGCCTTCAATTAACCTAGGAGGAAAACCAGATTCATTTCATAAACAGATTCTAGGAATTTGTTTTGTAATGAATGTAAGAGTTAAACATAAGAGCTGAGCTTAGGAAAATAGGTTTTGCTTTTAGCATGTGCAAAATAGGAATAAATGGGTTTTAGGTGATTTAAAATGTATAAACCAACCTACCCATGTCCTGGTGCATGAAATGCTGGAGCGTGAAATGCGAAAAGAAAGCTGTTCAAGTGCATCAAAATTGATATAAATAGAATAAGTGCGGTACTTTAAGAGAAACCAATAGAAAACACAGACTGGCGTTAACTAAAGTTAACAGTGTGTGGGCATAAATAAGGTTCAAATGTGACCATTTATATTAAATTTGGTTTAAGTTATATTGGATAAGCAAAGCATTCTATCAAGCAACAAGAACATGGCACAAAAGAATACCATTGAAAAGCAACAGTAAACGATGAACCTGGAAACAGCGAGGTACAAATATAAGACCAAACAGCACTTTTAAAATTCGAACGCCTGAAAAATAAATGCAAAGGTGCTAAAAGTGAGAAAGCTAAAGTAGAAAGTGAGGAAATATATAAATGCACTTCAGGATATCAGAAACGTAAAATAATCATGAAGAAACACTTCTACGAAATCCTGCAACGTAAGTAGTAGACCTGTGATGTCCATGTAAATATAAATTGTGATGCGAACATGCATGAACCATGCCGCAAACTGCGAGCAGATGATAGAAAGCATTCACAGACAGCCAAATTAAAAACTGTCCCTAGTTCGAAAAGAGGGAACCCAACACGGATTAACACAAGCTATTATACACCCTGAATAGGATTGGAAAAAATAATTCCTTGA